ACATCCCCCCCTCCAAGGGTCTCCGAGCCCTCCCTCTCCGTCCTTTCCCTTCTCCCTTCTACTCGTAGAGTAGTAGTAGTAGTAGTAGTAGTAGTAGTAGTAGTAGTAGTAGTAGTAGTAGTAGTAGTAGTAGTAGTAGTAGTAGTAGTAGTAGTCGTAGTCGTAGTCGTAGTCGTAGTCGTAGTAGTAGTAGTAGTAGTAGTAGTAGTAGTAGTAGTAGTAGTAGTAGTAGTAGTAGTAGTAGTAGTAGTAGTAGTAGTAGTAGTAGTAGTAGTAGTAGTAGTAGTAGTAGTAGTAGTAGTAGTAGTAGTAGTAGTAGTAGTAGTAGTAGTTAGTAGTAGTAGAGTAGTAGTAGTAGTAGTAGTAGTAGTAGTAGTAGTAGTAGTAGTAGTAGTAGTAGTAGTAGTAGTAGTAGTAGTAGTAGTAGTAGTGTAGTAGTAGTAGTAGTAGTAGTAGTAGTAGTAGTAGTAGTAGTAGTCACGCCTCTCTCCTCCTCCTTTTTCTTCTCTCATCGACGTCAGAACCCTTGCCTCCTATGACGTCCTCCGCTGGCCTGGGTGGTCTACTCAGGTCGCGGAGGGGGATAGGAGGGGGGTCGTTGCCATGGCTGGTTCCCTCGAATTGACGACGGGGAGGGGGGGGTGCACCGTTCCCTCGGATGGGCACATCCCCCCCTCCAAGGGTCTCCGAGCCCTTCCTCTCCGTCCTTTCCCTTCTCCCTTCTACTCGTAGAGTAGTAGTAGTAGTAGTAGTAGTAGTAGTAGTAGTAGTAGTAGTAGTAGTAGTAGTAGTAGTAGCAGTAGTAGTAGTAGTAGTAGTAGTAGTAGTAGTAGTAGTAGTAGTAGTAGTAGTAGTAGTAGTAGTAGTAGTAGTAGTAGTCCCAGAACTCCGTGCCCGGGCCACACTTTCAATGCCCGGAGCCAACTGTAGGGTACATCGTCTTCTTCGAGTGCCCGGAACAAGAAAACTTGTACCATGCTTTGATGGCCCGGAGACCCATGCATTTCTTCCAAGAGGAGGAGGAGGAATCAGCACATCCACAAACGATGCCCACCATCGTCACCATCATCGTCATCACTCTCTTCGTAGCCTTCTTGGCTAGAGCCCTGCTTTCAAAGGAACTGCTCAGCGCCTACTGCACACCATAATGCCACGGCATGCTGGTAGTTCTCGGTCTGGCCGCGGTGTTCCCGACCCTGCTGAACTGAACAGCGGTGCTCCTCAGCCTGCGGCATTGAACAGTGCTGCTCCTCAGCGTGCTGCATTGAGCGGTCCTCTGCTAACGCTCGTCCAGCACGTGAAGCAGTTCGGCCGGATACCGAAGCAAAATGCAGGAACGTCCGAAGAAGCACGAGCCGAAAACAAGTTGGCCAGACGTTTCTCAGACCATCGCGCCAGCATCCCCAATGACGTTATGCTTGAATTGCAAGCCCTCGAGGGCGCTCCGTCCTCAGAGTTGCGCGCCGTCAGCGCTGCTCCTCAGCGCGCTGCATTGAGCGGACCTCTGCAAACGCTCGTCGAGGACGTGAAGCAGTTTGGCCGGATACCCAGGCATAATAAAGGAACGTCTGAAAAAGAACGGAAGGAAAACAAGTTGGCCAAACGTTTCTCGGACAATCGCAAGAGCATCCCCAATGACGTTTTGCAGGAACTCCAGGTCCTCGACGGCGCTACGGAGACCGAGGAGCTCAAGCGGAAGCAGAAGACCGAGGAGATCATGCAGCACGTGCGAGACCTCGGCCGCTGGCCGAAGGAGACTGCCGGACGTCCCGTCGCAGAGCGGCAGCTGGGCTGGCAAGTCCGGAAAGCACGGAAGGCCAAGCAGTTCTCCCCGGAGCAGGAGGCCGAGCTGCAGGCTCTCCAGCAGGCGGACACGAAACCCGACGAGCTCCTGCAGAATACCGAGGAGATCATGCAGCACGTGCGAGACCTCGGCCGCTGGCCGAAGGAGACTGCCGGACGTCCCGTCGCAGAGCGGCAGCTGGGCTGGCAAGTCCGGAAAGCACGGAAGGCCAAGCAGTTCTCCCCGGAGCAGGAGGCCGAGCTGCAGGCTCTCCAGCAGGCGGACGCGAAGCCCGACGAGCTCCTGCAGCAGACGAAGACCGATCGAACGCAGCATTCATTGATACATAAGCTCTACTTCAAACAATCATGGTCATCATCGCATCATCCACTTCAAACGCTTCCGTGAGCACGCAGTGAACGTAGATGCCAGATTCTCATTTGAAACTGCGTTCGTTGATACCGAGTGCTTGTTTAAACTCACATCCGTCGATTGCAGACTTTGATGCAAAAGTCTACAATGAGAGTCCGAGTTGAATATTAATGAAATCGCCATCTGAATCTACATGATGGTGCACACATATATGCTTTTACACATCGCTGTTAGGTTGCTTTGCTGGGATATTTTTTGTTTGGCTTATTTTTGTTATTGTAGTGGCCTTCGGCCAGTGCCGCCGATCCGGGTCGCTCGGTGTTATTCTCCAGACGCAGACATTATGGGCGCACGCTCAAACGCACACGATACGTCTTGCTCGGAGTCTTGCTACGAAACATGTGGCCTGGGCGATGTAGTGCGAGCGGTGGAGGCGAGCCTATCGGCGCAAGGACGCCCTCTTGGGGCGTTTTTTGAGCCATCTTAGGAGCCTGTCAGGGCGTCGTGGGGGCTTCTTGGGGGCTTCTTGGGGGCTTTGGGGGGCCCTCTTGGGGGCTCTTGGGGCCTCCTGGGGGCTTGGCGGGCTGGAAGGCTGGATTTTTCCGCTTTTCGTCCCTCTTTTGGGTCCTATTGAGGCCGTCTTGGGGGCCTCTTGGGCCGTCTTGGGCGGCTCTTGGGCCGCCTTGGGGCCCTCTTGGGATGTCTTGGGGCTGTCTGGGAGCCTCCTGGGCCGTCTTCGAGCGGTCTTGGGGGCCTCTTGGGCCGTCTTGGAGCGTCGGAAAGCTAAAAAAAAACGAGAACCCCAAAAACAGTCTTAAAAACCAATGGAAATCAACGATTTTTGCCTGTGGGGTCCCTCGTGGGAGGCCTCTTGGAGGCCTCTTCAGACGTCTTGGAAGGCTCTTGGGCCGTCTTGGGGCCATCTTGGGCGTGTTCGGGCGATCTTTCGAGGTCTCGGGACTTTCTCAGACCGTACTCAGAGACTTTTGCGGCCGCGGCCACCCTTTCAGCGCATCCTCGAGATTTGAGCCTTATGTAAAAGCAGCCCCCCGCATCCGCCGGAAACTCGCACCCCCCCCCCCCCCCGTCCCCCCTTCCCCGGCAGAGCCACCCCGGCACCCCCCCCAGAGGCTGAGGCTCAGCCTCGAGGCTGTAGCTGAGACTCCTCGAAACTCACACGCCGGATCGGCGGATTTTCATGTTTCGTCCAAACACCGCCTGTAGGAGGACACGCCCGACCTAACAGTAGTTCCTTGTGGGTCCCATCCCGGCCAGGCCAGGAGGGCGCATCCGCTGGGCACTGGGCGCACGGCGGACAAGGCCAGGGTCGGTACTGTACTACAGGGCTGGACCTAAACGGTGTTTTGGCGATCTCGTGGGCTGTTTTCGTTTCGACTTCGTTTTGCGTTAAAGGCGAATTGAAGACAAAACGAGGGAACATCAACAAAACAAAACGAAAACGACACACGCCGTTTAGGTTCATCCCTACTGTACTACGCGGGCATCCGCCGTTCCGCTGTTTTCGAGACGCGGGTCCCCCGACCTCAAGCAGTGGCGCAGTGTCCTGGCTCGCCTACAGGCCCACCACATAATGTTCTAAAAGCCTCATGTGATGCGGTCTGCGCGACATGTTCTTAGAACGCATCTGGCTGAGTCTGGTTTGATTTCACACGTCGGTTTGGAGTTCTGAGAACATGTCATGTTTTTAGAACATGTTGGGGTTCTAAGGACATGTCGTGGTAGGCCTATATGAATGCCGGGATGGTCGGTCCCTGCTCAACGACCTTTTGATCATTTCCCCGGAACCTTTCTTCCATTCCGAGCCATTGTTCGACAGTCCCCAGGCCCGGTCGCGGCCCCGAGAGGCCGAGAATCGACTGGACGTAAGAGTGACCTTTCGCCGGAGTGACCCTTGGCTTGGGCCCAGTGGGGCCCCCCGATCGTCGAACGCGATGCGATCGTAGCGTCTTGTGCGCCTGTGTTTGGTCCCCCCGTGGCCCCCCAAGCAGCCGCGCACCCAAGGCCGCTCCCAGGGTCACCCATGCGTGTAGCCGAGAGAACCATGAGCAACACGCCGTCCGGATGCTTTCGAGACGCCGCACGCCGCGTCACGTGGGCCGTCAGCGCTCCTCCCCGTGCGCCTCCCGAGCCCGGGGGCCGCTGGCCAGCGCGGCTGCCGTGGCGCCGCCCAGGGGTGCTCGAGGGCGGCGCGTGCGGGGTGCGGCGCAGATCCGAGAGCTGCGCGCGGACCTCCGACGGGGCACGGCCGGGCCGAGGCGTGAGAGATCGAGGTCGGTTCGGGGAGGGTGCCCAGATGTGTTTTCCGTGCTCGTTGGATGCTCTCGTGCATCCCGCGGCGGGCACCTTTGGTCGGGTGTCATGGGTGCTTTGGCCAGCGGAGTGGCTCAGGCTCTTGAGGGGCGGCCTTCTGTCCTGGCTCCGGCTGTGCGTGCAATGGAGGCGCTCAAACGAGGACCGCCCCCCCCTCCCTCCCTCCCTCCCCCCCCCGCTTCCTCTCTCCCTCCCTCCCTCCCTCCCCCCCCCCTCCCCCCCCCGCACTCGCTGAGCTCGGCCCTGGGGCCCTGGCACTCGGGCCGGGTCTCAGGCCCGGGTCGGGGAGCGCGGTCGTGGCCGAGGCCTGCCGTGGCCGGAGGCTCGGGAGGAGAAGAGAGAGCACGGAGAAGATTCATCGTCGATTCCCCGGAACATGCGGGAGCATGTGGGAAGTGGGGGGGAAGGCAAAAGCCCAGACGAGATGGGAGCATCTGGGGAATCCTGTTAAATTGTGTCTCTTCATCTGTGGGTCTCCGGGCCCCTTCGGAAAAAAGCCCCCCTCGTTCCTCGGATGACGTCCCTCATGGTGGCACGAGACCTGCAGCTCGCGATCCTGTCGTTGCTTGGCATCGCGCTGCTTTTTGACTGCTCTCCTTGCCGGCGCAAGGGAGGGAAGGAGGAGAGGGGGCACGGGGAAGGCAGGACTGCTCGCGGTGCGCGTCGGTCCGCTCCGACCGCCAAGGCCTCCGACCCCGGTCTGGGCCGCGCGAGAGAGTGGACACGATCGGTCGCGCGTGCTATCGACCTGGCACGGCTGCGGGGCCGTTCGGTTCTTGGTTTTTCTGGCGTTCGAGGCTGTGATTTTTTAGATTTTGGCTATTTGCCTGCAATGGAGGGGGAAGGTGAGGGGCGTGGCGAGGCCTATAAGGAAAAGCTTGGGCTTTGCGCAAGTCGGGGCTCCCTTGCACGCCCCTTCGGTCCGGCGAAGGCGGCCCGGGGGGGGGGGGGAAAATGCCGTGCCAGTAAACTTGCTGGCGTCAGGAGTAAAACGCCCTCTTCCAGGGCGCTCTAGTGGATGGCCCCAGGAGGGGGTCCACGGGCAGGGGTAGCCCTGGGAGGGTGCTCCGCGGCACAAAGGGCAAGGTGCGAGGGACCTCCCGAGCCGCCGTGTCCTCCGACGCTGTGGGCCCGCGTGGCCGCGACGGGGGGTCGCCATTGGAGCGCGATCGCGTGGGCAACTTCGGCCCCGTGGCCTTGGCCAGGAGCGGGTCCACGAGTCGCGATCTAGTGCAATTCCGTGCTGTTGGTCTCCCGGCCCCCGCGGCCGCGAGGACGGGGGCGGCCACCATCGTGCGACCTCGTGGGCCAGCACCGGGCGTGGCCCACCCACCCATCCGACAACCCGCCACTCCCCGACGCATTATGCACCCATCGCGCACGCACCATCTCCCCAGCACGTACCCCTCACGCAGCACCCACGACGCTTCTTCGCGTCGTCGTCGTCGCCGCCGCCGCCGCCGCCGCCGTCTTCCTCCCCTTTCTTTTCTCTTTCTGTATCCATTCTGACTCAAGCGTTTATTGAGGAGCAGCTGTGAATCATGATCTGCCCAGCTGGATGTCATTCTCCCGATTTGTTGATCGCCTCAACAAAGCGAGGTTATAGACACCAGAGGCGATACCACGAGAACAAGCGCGTACTAGGTTTCTTTATTCGGGTATGCCACATTGGTTTTGTTTGCATGTTTGCTGAGCTGAATACGTGCAAGGGTTCCACTTTTGTGTTGGGTGTTTCACGTGCAGTGCCAACCCGTTTTTCTGCAGCACGACGAGCAACCGATGATTATAGACAACAGAACCAGCAGTTACCCATTTCCAGGCGTGACTTATTTCCTCGCTTCGCTCATTCCGCCAGCCTGTATTTTGTCATCGCAGGCGTTTGCCTTCGCGTTCGTGGCCCCTCTTGGGTCTGGCTTGAGGCCCTCTTTGGGCGATCTTGGGCGCCTCTGGGGCCGTTTTGGGGCCCTCCTAGGGCCTCTTGGGGCCTCTCGGGTCGTCTTGGGGCGGCCTTGGGGGCCTCTGGGTCCATCTTGGAGCGTCGGAAGCCCGAAAACACGAGAAGGCGAACATAAATACAAACACGCAAGGAATATCAATGATTTTTGCTTCTCTTGGCCTTCTTTGGGGTCCCCTTGGAGCGCTCTTGGGACTTCTTTGGGGCCTCTTGGGCCGTCTTGGGGCCATCTTGGGCGTCTTGGAGCGCTCTTGGGCTGTGATTCCGATTCGTGGGCCCATTTGGAGTTGCCTTGAGGTTCCTTGGGCCCGTCCTGGGGCGATCAGGAGGGCCCCGCAAACCGCCCCGGGGAGTTCCGACATCCTCGAGCGGACCTTGCCGGGACCTTGCCGGGAGTCGGCTGGGGTGCTTTTCGTCTGGGGACCCCCAGGGGCCGCCCGGCGCGCGCGAACTAGAATATGCAGATACTCTGCGAACCAGTTACCGCAGATCTTAGCACGCCTCTGGACCGTTGGGCCGGCGAATTTAAGGCAGCCATGTATGTTTATTATGCGCTCCTAGCTTACATTCTACTCCGACTACCACTGTTTGGGTACATTGCAGCCTTGGGCGATCCGAAAGCGAGTTCAGGAGATGGGGCTGAACAGTGGGGCATATGGCGGCAAGATCCAGGGCCTCGAGGTGTCAGATTAAATCGATTTAATGAACTCAAGGCTCATGGGAGTGTGGCAAGTCGAGGCACCGAAGAGAGAGCCTTTTTTCCATGGCAGGGCGATTGGAAGCTCGATGACGCAGACTGGTGGTTGGAGGAGCACGGCCTGATCATGCCGGAGCCCGAATACCCCCTGCCTCCTGGGAAGTACATCGTGTCGGGGAATCGCGAGGTCACAAGTACGCTGACAGTCCATCCCAGGGACCCGGCCGGCAGCCAGCGATGGGAGCTCAGCGGCGGCGCGACGCTCCACGACGTGACGCACCTGCCGTGCCGGTCGGCGCGCTACAGGCCCGCGCAGGGAGGCGAGGGCTGCTCCCCTGCCAGCGCCAGCAGCTCGGACTTCCC